GGGTCCTCCAGCCTCCGAACCAAGCCCTCACCTCCCCGAGGCCCTAGTGGAGGGAAGTCAGGGCGCTGCTCCGACCATCTCTGCCTGACAAGACGGGCGCCACCCTGTGAGCCTCCCTCCTTGGGGGAGAGACCCCCTCATTAGCACTGAGGGTCCTCACCTTGACTCTGGTTATGGCCAAGACGTCCCCCTCTGCAGAACTGGAGTCTGATCCTGCTAGATGAGGCCCTTCCCTCCCTGAGATCACTCGGGTGGAATGAGGGGATGACTCAGCAGTAGCTCTTCTGGGTCTCCCAGGGCTAAGAACTGTACAGAATTCTATTTGGCCCCCTATGCTTTTGGGGGTCCCCTCATAACACTCAGCATCGTCACATGAATTCTTGTTAGGGCTCAGGTCTCTATCTCTCTCTCTGCAAAACTGAGGCTAACCCCATTAGACAGAGACCCTCACCTCACTGAGACTTTCCAGGCTGAAATCAACCTGACATCTATGGCCAGAGCTTCCCGGGGATGACAGCATCAGAGATTTTTCCGGGGCCTCCTTTTATGCTGTGCGTGCTACCCTTAGTCCACATTCAGATCCTCACCTTGACACATGATCAATCCTGTAACTCCACTCTCTGCTTTCCTGAAGCTGCTTGTCTTACATCAAGGTCCTACTCTCCTAAGAATTCCAAGTTGAAAGTCAGGGTGATCCTCATATGACCATAGTCCATTGGGGCCTCCAAGAACAGGCAGCAGGGATGCAACTCTATTGGACCTCACTGTTCTGGCTGGGTCCTTCCATGATTCCTCACTCAACATGCTCACTACATCTAACAAAGCCTGGCACTCCTCCTTCTACGGAACTGAGGTCACTCTCCTTAGTCTTTGGATAACTCCTATATTCAGGGGTGATCGTCTCCTCGGTCCTCATTCATGGGGGTTCTTATATCAGCTTCTGTCTCTTGATTAAAGGCTTCCTGGGAAATGCATATTCCTAGAAACATTTGACCAGTTACCCTATTGCAAATCTCGGGAGAAAATGGGTCTCTGTCCCGAAAGTGATGTAAGATTAGGAAAATGCAGCACAAATTAAGGAACTCAGGACAGATGTTACGCTGTCAGAGAAAAAAAGCTGATATATTCCTTCTCTTCACCAGCCAGACTTAGGGTAGTTCTAAAATATTTACTTTCTACATAGAAGGATAGAGCCAGATAATCTTGTAAGCCCCTGATCATTTGAGGGTATCTGATTTTGCACATGCAGATGATCATATTGTTACCGAGCATTATCTCTTTCTCTCCTTTATTCATATCTCGTTTATTTCCGTATTTGTACTGCTGTGGGTATGTATTCCAATCCAGTGTTTTGGTCACAGAGTCCTTCTTTTCATCACTCAAGATACATTTTGAAGTGGTAGAAGACAGTGAATTAACTGACTCATGATCAGCCTCAGGCTGGGAGGAGTGGAATGGCGTGAGCTCTGGACAAATTCAGACCAGAGGTCCAGTCCCAGCCATGTGACCTATTAGCTGTGTGAACTCAGGTCCATCACCAAGCTCTGTGAGCCTCAGGTGAAGTGGCTTTGTTAAGCCCTATTTTGCAGGGCTAGTGGCATGCAGGTAATGTATGTAAAACACCTGGCACAGTGCCTGGACCACATTGAGACTTTACACAATGTCTGTTTTTACCATGATTATGATTATTTTGGCTGCAGACGATACCACCCACCCTGAAGGAATTTTTAAATCCAGGAGATATCAGAGAATATGTGGCATTCTAGGACATGGAACACCAAATCAGTCCAAAATGCTGTTTACAAAGAATCTTTAATTTCCCCAATAAATCAAATATGAAAATTACATTTTCCTTCCAACTGAATGAAATTCAAATGTTCTAGAATTTGCTTCCAAGACTAACTCTTTCTTCCTTCCAAGCTGCCCTTTCATCTAAACAACCCCTATCGTCATTAATTTTACCGTCACCGAAAATGTACACCTCT